ACAGTATTGCTTCTGGTTTCACTACTTGCTGGTCTGTAATATGTAGCATGAAGTTTGCTGTGCTTTTGCACATTAGACTGTTCCCCTTAGCAAGACTACCAGACCCTCCTGCACACGTGGCATTTCATTTAAAGCTCTGTGTGTGAGTACAAATTTGGTCAATCAACTCAACAATAAAACTTGTTTGTTTGACCAAGTGAAGAGTCTGCAGCTTTATGGTTTGAAAATAAAATTCCTTGTGGTTCTTGTATAAAAGTCAGCATGAAAATTGTATTTAAAATAATTGGTTTGCATGCAAGGAATTACTTTGTAATCACAATGAAAAAAAATGTACAAAATGTTAAGTGATCTTATAACATTATATTAGTATCTTTCTTTTCCCCCCAGACACCATATGAGGAAAGAAAAGGACAATATCTGATTGAAAGAATAAGACTGAAAGCAAGGAGATAAGAGTTATTTATTTTGGCTCTTTCAAGGAATTGGTTATTGGCTTAACCAGGTTATTTTAACTTTCAGGTAACTTATTTCTATGTTTCAGGTATAACAGCAAAGTGACAATGGAATTTTTAAGGTTTAATTCATTTGTGAAAATACACTTAAATAAATAAAACAATTTTGCTGTAATTTACATTGAAAACCATACTACAGATCCTACAGTGTGTTGGGGGTTGTTTTGATTTTCTTTATTTATTTTTAAAATGAAGAAAAAAGATCCTGGTGGTATTAGTAAGCGTTACTTTTTTTTTAATATAGCAAAAGTCAGTGTAATCAATTCTGAGGATACTGTGTTACAATCACTTAGGAAACGATGAAAGAAAAAGCAGAAATGCAGAGTAATTTCAACTCAGTTGTGTTCTTTCAGCTTCCAGCAGTCAAAAATTCAATCTCTTCAAGGCTGCATCCGAGACCATCTTGCCTTATACCCCGTAGTAGCTTTTACTTCTCTGCGTTCATCAAAGGCTTTTTATTGAATCTTAGTTAAGCTTTTGGCCTCAGAAAAACTTAAGATTGCAATGAGTTTTACAGTTCAGTAATGCACTGAGTGTAAAAACAAAAGTAAAACCCTAAATTCCACTTCCTCTTGTTTATTTTAGAGCAGTTTCTTAAGAGTTAGTAAGTGCCCTCATCTTCATGCACTGTTAAAAGCAGAGGATAATTTCACACTCGTCCTTACTCTTACGTAAGAGTAAGGATTTGTTTCTTTTCTAGCCCCCAACTTTTACAGCACAGAAGCAGAGGAAGCTCTGGTTTTCCATGACATACTTCTGACTATCTTTCTCTCTGCTCCTTAGCTTACCTCTTTCATTTTTCTTGTGAGGTGGGATGGCCAGGATGACACAGGGTAGCTCATCTTGGTAGTCAAGAAGAAGTCCAGTAATGGAATGGCTCTTCTGTTGTTTTGTGGCTGAATGTCAGGGCTTTTTCTAGTGCTATTTACCATTCGTCCTACTTGCACTGATTTGGTGTTTTTTTAATGGTATTTGTAAAATTCCAGGGCATCTTTCTTGAATGATAGTAACTAATTAAGAGCTATTTACTTTCAGTATTTTCATGCTTATCAATACTTCAGTTTAATTATTTTCATAGCATTACTTTGCATTTATCATCACTCAATTTTTTTTCTGCTGTTTTTTTTGCTAGTAGTAGAGTACTATGAGTCATTTCAGCAATTCTCCGCAATAACCTTTAGATTTTATTGCTTTGAATCTTTTAATTGAAATACTATCACTTCACTATTCAAAATTTTTAATAACATTTATAAATATGATGAGTAGACTAGATTTTTTAATCACTCAGTTAATTCTCCTGCTCAGAAAACAGAAAATTATAATAACAGTCCAACTATTTTTAATATTATTTCTCCTGTAACCAAGAGAGAATTACTAAGCAACAAGGTGCTCTGTTTTAGCATTTGACAACTTTTGGTCTGGCTGATGAAGATTTTGATCTCCATGGATGGAGATGTTTGTAAACAGATGTCTCATCTGCTGTGTTCCAAGCCATATGACATAAACTTATTTAGAAATAATCTGCATGATTATTAATATTTATTATTTATTATTTGCATAATATTTAAAAATGCATTCATCTGTAGGATGTACTTCTCCAAGACAGTAAGAGTTGCCTGTATACATTCAGCATGTGCCATCATGAGGGTCTAGTAAATAAAGGATATATATTTGTATACATTCCTGATGTTTTAAAAGGTTTATGTCTCCTAATAGCAAGGAATAAAATGACAAAACTTCGTTGAGATATTTGAAAGAAACAATGAATTTAAATATCAAGTTGAGAAGGAAAGATTGGTGGTTGACTATGAAAACAGCTTTTGGCATTAAAAAAAACCCCAACTTTAGTTTAATTTGGTTTTAGTTCAACCTGAGCAATGAAGAGATGGCAAAAGCTTAGGAGCAATGACTGTGTAAAAATCAGGAAAGATGCAAAATACAGATTAATGACAATCAAGTTTATAAAATACAAATTCCATATTTAAATGAATAGTTGGAAATACTTGGCAGCAGTGCAGTGATAATGCAAATGAGTTCAAGGAACACAGTAGAAATAAAAGGAATCCTAAAAATATACAGACTTTAGTCCCTGGAAATGGTATCATTATCAGTCATTAATGATGCAGAATGTTTAGCCAGGATATTTCCATAAATATTGGTTGTATAGCTGGAAAAATTAAGTGTAGTATGCTTGTATTTTACCAAAATGATGTAATACTTTGCAGTTGCTAGTATAGTAGTGTTAATTTTAGGAGAAAAATCAGGAATGTAGAGAAGAGTCATAGTGCACTGGTCTACGAACAGCAGTGCTGCTTTCTAATGGCTGATTTCTCATGCTTTGTGTTCCATGTTTGGATTTTAGTTGTTCAGGTAGGGGGAGCATTCTCAGTCTGAAGCTTTTATGTGTACCAGACAGTCACCACTTGATTCTTTGGTGGCACTTTTTTGGCTCGCCTTATGTGGGCATTTTCTCTTTGATAAGGGCATGTACAATATCTTCCCCACAGTGTGGATGAGCACTTCCACGAAATTGGGAAGGATTGATTGTTTTAGGACAGGACATCTTATTTACAGGACATCTGTCAGATACGGCTGGAGTGGACCAGTGAGTCAAAAGTTGTGTTGGAATGACAAGCAGTAGAATAAAAGTGTGGCCAGTGAAAGAAAAACTTGCAGTAGCAGCATGACTGTGTGGTGATGATGCCATGACCAGCCTTGCAGGAGTCCTTCACTGAACTGCTGCGAAATTTTGCAGCCTATTTAAAAAACAGAGAAAAAGAATCTACCCAATACCTTGGTATTCTTACGTCATTATGAAAAATGAGTCAACAAATCCAGTTCCTGATGTTTTTTGACAAGATTGCATCAGTAACATTAAATTTCATTAAACATCTATCCATATGTATGATGTGTCAGGGCCCAAACCTTCTTAGTAACAACATTTCTCTAAGTATAAATGTCTGTAGCAGTTTACTTAGGGAGTTGATGTGTGAAATATCTTTGTCTGTCAAACCTGCTTTGTGTATGAAATTTTGAAGATGGAGATTTGCATCTTGATAGTAGATTATTTCCTTTCAACACAGCAGGTTCTTCTGGGTGAGACTTACACAGGTGGTGTGATAGTTAGACCCTGTAGCAAAATCTGTAACCATTTAACAGAGAAAGAGACTTCTGTGTGAGAATGGTGTCTCAAAGTACCACAAAAAGTACCAAAGTTCCCAGCCATCAGCCCCTTTACACTAGCATACAAAAAATGCTGATAATTTGGAGGCATTTTATAACCTGCCTGCCTTCTAAGTTTACATGCTTCACTTTGGAAACATCAAGGTGAGAGACAAAATCTTCAGATAAACTGTGTGAAAGAAAAAGGCTTTTAATAGGAGAGGAGGCATTCCAGAGCTGCCCTTATGTCATTGACTGTAAAGGAAACTGTTTGTAACTTGGATTAAAACAGAAGGGAATTCTCATAGGCACATGAATCTTTTTTAGAAAGAAAGTCTGTACAAAGCATTATTTTCCTGAAGAGTCATATGATTACTCTAGAGATTAGTGATCAAGTTTGTTCGGAGCTGACTGAAGGTTATGCAGAAAGAGGAGTGAGACAGTCCCAAGGCTGTAAATGGGATACAGTTGGGAATGATGGCACAGAATATCACTAGCTAAGAGACAGGAGCTCATTCAAAGGGGAGGGCTGAGGATAGATGCAGAAGTCCACAAAAGCATGCTTAAGAAGAAATAGCTCATGTTGCATGTTTAAATTACTTGAGTAAATTACTACCTACCTCCTTGTTTGCATTTTCTCTCAGCTGTTTGAAAATTCTTTGATGCATGCAGTTTCTTTTTTCACGTCTTACTTACCAAACACAGAAAGACATTTGAGCTCTCTCCTTTTGTCATGCTAGAACAAGGTTTGTGTCTGTTGGATACCAACTGAACTGCTGTGTTGTTTCCATGTTGGCGTAACTTGTGAATGACCCAGTGAGTAACAACTCAGTTAGAGCTCTGTTGAAAAATCAGAGGTTTTAGAGCCAGATTGGAGGAAGTGAGAAACTCTCAAACGCAGACAAACTCAGCAGGATCTGAGGCTATTTCTGATTGAGGTACATACTCAACATTTCTGTTTATAATGAATACATACCATGGAGTTAAGCCTGAGGAGATCAGTACAAGAAGGAACTGAAAACAATGGAAAAGTCTTTGTTTTTCAGAATTTTTCTTTGATTGTTGATTTACTTCTATAAACTCTGTTAAAAAGCAGAAATAAGACACTGAACAATAGTTTAACCTGGGCTCTAAGATTCTGATTAGACATGATAAAAGACACATACTGTCCAAGAGCTGTCAGTGGAACAACTGTCAGAAAAACACCGGCAAAAGCTGATGTCTTTTCCAACCAATATATGCTTCAAAAGATCAGGGAAAACTTTGCAGAGGAAAAAAAAGTCACTTTTAGAGGAAGATTTTATAGCTGTTTGTTGTTTTCATTATTTGCTTTACATGTTCTTACTTTTGAGGAAGTGAAAAAATAATATCTTGTTCTGAGGACATATTCCTGAGTTGTTTTAATCTAGTCATGAGTCCCTAGCCTGCCGGATTCCTTAGGTGCCAAACACATGGGCCACTGAGTTAAAACAGACAGAGAAAAGCAACCAAGAGCTGTAAAATAACTGTAGTTACAGTGGGTTTGGGAAACCAGAGCTATTATCTCAGTAAGGCTAAGAAAATTGCCTCAATGCCAAAAAAGGGATTTGCATGTGTAACATCATGGTAAATTACAGGATGAACAACTGTTATCTCTTCCCAGTCATTACCCTTAAACAGATCAGTTAAAAATCAGTGAAAGAAGCCAATGCTAAATTAAACAAAGATTTTTCTCTGATTTGGATTGAGATTTCTTTCCTGTCTATAAATACATCCGAAAAATAGATTATGCCTTTGTTATTGGCTGGTCTATACTTGTATTTTGCCTTGAAAAGCGCTTAATAGATTTATGTGCATCTGTAAAATGAGCTTCATCCAGAGTAGGAGTTTGTATACCAGACTGAAGGCAGGTACAGTTAAACACAGAGGTGATACAAAGCTCTGATAAAAAATATTTGTGCTGGGAATGGGAATCCTGACTGTCTGCTTGGCTATCACATATTGTGTGGTACAGTGGGTGATGCATGTTGTACAACTGCATGAGTCCCTGATATGGTATTGCATATCTGCACAAGAATGTGGTTTTTCCATCTCCATCTGTCTCCCAAGCAGTGTGAATATGTTTTCATATAAAGAGATCTTTAATTTGGTTAACCAGTCTTCACTCAAGCTCAACTTTTTTACATGGTCAGAAATAATACTTTCTGTTGGATTGCAAAAGCCTGTTTTGTTTTGCACTGCAATCATGTATTGCAATATCACTTAAAAATTATTTCTTTTGTGTCACATTTCAGACTAACAGCTGAGTCATATCCTTAGTATTAAAATTGGAAACGCACAAAATCTGAATGTATCTCATTTTCTGCCAAACCCTAGTCTGTTTTTATTTTAATTACTGTATCCAACCATAATTGAAAGCTGTTTATATGGTATATCAGTTAAATCTCAACTTGTACTTCAGCTTTTTAATCAGTTCTGAGCTACAAGTGATTTTATGTAGTTTAAGGCCAGTGGGAACAGAGAATCTCTGTTGATTTTGTGTATATTGTGATATATTATTATAATGTATGTGTTGACTTCCATATAATGATACATATCTCTGTACTTACTAGGAAGCATATTGCTATAATACAGTGTGGTCTATTATTCTATAATGTTGATATGTTAGATTTCTTCCAGTTACCTTTGCATCAAGACCACCAGTTAAAGTTGTGCATCCTGCTCTTAGCTTATCCAGCTGCTCTGCACAATTGCTCTGATACTTCCTGGCCCTCACAGCAGGTGAGGAAAACTACCTGAATGAGCAGCTGAGAACTTTCATGTATTCAAAAAATCAATATTTCCAACCAGTCTGATTAGAGACTGAGAATCAGGAAGGGAAGAAAATCCCATTTTGTTACTAAACCTGGCAGTTTTCATGCTGTGTACAGGGATAAAGCATTATGTAATGCACCTGAAAGGTTTTTCTCTACTGGCATAAACTGACTGGTGTACTATCTCTAAGGATAGCAGGTTTCTTGTGGCTCACAAGTACTTCTAGCAAAGTAGTTACGAAGATAGGAAAGAATGCATCTACCCAGTATTGTACTAGGGTCAGAAAAGCTTCTTGACCCTTCTAAGCCACTTACACACATCTTTACGTATGCATGGAACATGGTGGAATAATCTAGGCAGTTCTGTATCCACAGGACTTGCAAAGAGAAAATCAAGAGAGAGCTTGTTAATTCACAAGATTCTGAAAATAGAAGTTTGACTATTTCGTTTGAATCACAGCCCACACAGGCAGTAGTATTGTTCCTATAAACTGTACTAAATATATGTTTCAGAAGGATATAAAATCTCACTTCAAGAGCTTCAGATATCTGAAGTTCATCATCTGCCTTCTTAACTTTAATTATCCTCACTGGTAGGAAACTGTCTGTTTTCCAAGCTGGTGTTTTTTGCTCCTATATTCAGGATTTAGTCAGTAGTTCTGTGTCTTTCCCACATTGAAAATACCTCTTCTTCTTTCCAGCTAGTGATTCTCCCTTTGGGGAGTCTCCAGAGAGAGAATCGAAGAAATCAGATGTTGCCTCAAACATGTTCTTTGGTAAATAGAATATTGTTATTAAGCCTCATTTCACAAGACCTTTTTTTTCTTTTCCCATTTGACTGCCCTGTCAGCTCTTGAATCCTGACCCTGTTGTCAGAAGGGTGACATAGATTTGTGACAGTAATCTAGCCCTCACATTTTTTCCACCCACTGGTTTAAAAAGCAGTACAAGAAAGAGGGATTTTATGTAATTGTCCACATAGTAAGAATATTTAATATTGTTGAGCCAGAAAGCGATTTCTGAGGTCATTGTTCTTCAATTTTATATCCCTACAAAAAACCCCAACAAACAAACAAACAACAACAACAAAAAAAACCCTATACCACAATACCAGTTTGCAAATCATTCAGTATAATCTCTGGTGATTTATTATAGGGTTTAAATCTAGCCATTAACTGATATATTAATGTTCAGGTGAGGTCCTGATCTGGAAATGATAACATACTGTGGAAATTGTCTCATGTCCCGTTCTATTAGAGAGGTAAATCTTCCTATATACAAAAACCTCCATCTTCAGTGCAAATACAGAACAAGAACATGAGTTAAATGTCTGTGTCATTGTTTCCTGTAACAATCTTTACAATTTCATCTATAAACATACTCCTGGCCTATTTTTTTGGAATGGGATAGAGGAGAATTGAAGGAAGTAATCATGCTGTATTACCAAGTTGCCCTTTATTGTACTGATCACTCTCATTTCACTGTTGTGTTTTGTTTTCATAATCAGTCACCCACATTAAGGGAAAATACTTGTACATCCTTCTTACTATCATTTTTACATTGTTTTTGTTCTGAAACAGGCAATTAACCTAAATATCCTATTGTGCAGTGCCACTTTATTAATGTCTTTGGCGTTTTGGTTGTGAGGGTAGCCTGTAGGATGCTCTTCAGCAGCAATTACAATCTGGCCTCTTTTAGCAACAGTGTAGTTTTTTTGCAGTTACATGTTACGATAGCTAACATATATCCCAAGAGAAAATCAGTCCCATTATACATATTTTTCTTCCTATGCAGTGTGTGGGAAGTAAATTAAACTGGAGAAGCAGGCAAATAACTAAATGACATTTTTACCTAGGATCATACCAAAATTTTTGTTACAGTTGGTTAAGTGTGGAGTTCCACTGGGCACAAATACCTCCAGTAACAGTGTTAACGTACTGAGACCATGGGATCATGTTGCAGGGAAATACAAGACTTGCTTTCATTTGTGTTGGATCTTTGCCATGAGCTGTGTATAGCAGGAAAGGGTTTTATGTCTATGAATAAGAAATAAAGGTGTGTGTCCATGGGCAGATGTCATAGCGCTCATAAACAGCCCAGAAGTGAAGGCTCTTTTACAATAATTTCATCATGCTTTGAAGAGCTCTAACCATGCTCAGAGGAGCAGTCAACATTATAAAAGAATAGATCTGCAGATGGAGACAAGATCCCCTGCCAGGCTTTAGATATCTTAGGGCTGAGATATTTTAGTGGAGTTGAATATTTTAGTTACTCCTTGAATTAAAATCAGACAAGTAATTTATTTTCTTCAAGGTTAAGTTAGAAAAGATGGAACTTGATATTGGAGCTGCTGGGTTAACAGTTGGACTCAATGATCTTAGAGGTCTTTTCCTACCTAAATGATTCATTGTCTCAATATTGCCATGAAGCGTGTATTTTAATAAAAAGCTCTCATTTTTCTTGTTACTTTAATAGGGTTTTCTTAGGTATATTCTCCTTTTGTAAAATTGCTAGTTGAATTTAAATATTGTAAGGCCATAAATATAAATTACTGAGCAACTGAACAGTCTCTTTTCCAGTTAGAAAGCTTGATTTGGAGATTGTATCCTCAGGAAATATCTGAGAGTGCTGCTAATGACGTTCCATTTTCATGAAGTTTATGTCCCTGAGGTTAAGAGAAGATTCCTATTTCCTCCCTCCCTGCAAAGAAATCAGGTACTTTATAGGAAAGCAAATGTAAATCTGTCCCCACATACTTGTCCCCCCAAACTTTATCACAGTCTATATGGAATTCTTTTTAAAACTACTTAGATCTTGAACTGGCAGAGCCAGACAGTGGCATACTAATACACTGACTCAAATTGTAGGACTGCACTTAGCAAAGAGATGTAGAAAACATCTGGTAGATCATGGCTGGTCAGTACAGAATTGTCCAAATTAAATTAATATTGTCAAAATAATATCTCCCTTCATGTACAGAGATGTGTACAGATGTCGATATTGTAAGATTTTGTATCAGCACTGGGTTATTAGTGAATCAAATTAAAGATTATCTGTTTAACTAGAGTCTTAACTGATTAAATATTGAAATTTACTCTGTATGATTTCATTACTTTCTTCATTGTGATACATGCACATTGCAGTGCATCAGATATATTCTTTACTGTTTTTCTCTCTGAATTCCCACTGTTAGTTCCCAAGCTCCAGGAAAAGCTGGAATTTATACTAATGCTTATCTAACTTAAGTCTTTATCTTTTTTTTTTATTAGTTTAAATTAAGCATTCTGCTCCAATACAGTCAGGGAAAAATGATAAGAAATTTATTTTTCACCTATTTCCTTAAATAAATGAGGCTAATGTAGCTGTAACATCTATGTGTCAGAAACTTTGAAATAAAAAAAAATCAGTTGAAGGAGTCGAGATCATAAAGATGTCTTAAAGCTATATGAGAACTCATTTCTTGGTCAAGGGAGCCTTAAAATATTATTTTCCTCAAGAAAAAGCAAAACTTTAACTTTTGGAGATGAACATTCATATTTGTGCATTTTAGCTCTCCCAAAACCCACTGTGTAGTGGTAATAAATTCATTCTGCTGCCTTATGGTCCAGATAATCAAGGCACTTGAGTCAGGTTTGCAGTACAGAAGGGTGCTGGGGAGGATGGGGACTGGTGGCTGGAAAGATCCCAAAGACAGCAGCCAGTGCACTGAGAAAGGATGCTGAGCAGGAAATTAGGACCAAGGGTGTGAGACTGTGTCCTTGGGGCTTTTATGGTGGAGAAACTTCAACAGTAAAGTATTTCAGCACCAAGGGAAAAAATTAGGTCTTTTATTTTTCTTTCTCATAGCTGAAACATATTTGGAGAAAATTTAGCGCTTCCAATTTCCTTAAAAGTTCTACGATGATGACCTCTTGAATAGAGTGAACTTTTGAGTGATGCTTAATGTGTACACAGGGGCATTAAAACCATGATTTTGGACGGGCACAGGTCTTTTGAGGAAAGAAAGGCTGTTATTAGCCTCTGAGCCTCACAGACCACTTAACTGCCTGCAGGCATACCAATTAAGTGGAATTATCATCCCAATTAACCATTGTCCCTTGCCAGTCAAAACTCATTTGGTTTAATTCAGCTTCCTAGGAAAAGTCCTAATTAACCAGATTTCCTAATTATCCGTGTCCTGATTAAGTGAAGTGTACTAGTGCAGCCTTCATTAATAAAGGATCATCTTCATTTTGTTACTTAAATAATCTTTAAAAAAATTACGGTTTGTGGGTAGCATTCTCAGGTAGTAAATGTCCAGATTTGGGTTTTTGTACTAGTAGGTACAGACTTCAGTTGAACTACTGAAATAAGTAATTTCTGCAGGACTTGCCAAGAAAATATTATTTATAAAGAAAGGCAACAAAGGTGTTTGTCCTGTTTTGGACTGAAGATTTCACTGAGGTGTGACACAGCCATGAGTTAGTACTTTGACCAGGGAAATCTGCCATTGCTTCTTGATCTCAAAAGATCTTTGCAGAGTCTCGTGAGCTGAGATGTGGAGCCAGATTTTTTCATCTATTTGGACACAAATTTATGCAGAGAATGTATCAGAAAAAGTGTGGTCTCTGCCACACAAAATACATTCAGATTATATTCATACTTAGTTACATTACCGTTTGCTACAAGGTAATATTTAGTTTGTTGACAGATGACTTCTCTGTGTCTGTGCTCCTGAGTCTGTGACCTGCTAATAAATATGAAACTGAGTTGCTTCCAAGTCGTGCATGACCCTGATACTTCACATCACATAAATTAAACAAGATGAAAGAAGTTGTTGGGAGGTGGGGGAGCACTAGAAGTTAAAAGCCTAAGATAGTTCATTCGTTTTATTAATTATACCGTGAGTAGAGTTGCCTTTGTAATATTATATAGCTGAATCTACTAATTAATAAGGTTAGAATGATTTCCATCCAAGAATCTCAAATCTTGACTACACAGGGACATTTAGAAAAGGAACTAGAAGTGAATTACAGGTAGAGAGCAAAGTTTTTCTGTAGATGTGTTCTAAATCAGGAATAACATATCTGAATACAATTCTACACCCAGATGTTTTCTGTGCCTTGTGACATCTTAAATGACTTGCCTAAACTCCCTTACACTTCCTTGTCAAAAAATGTTGAGACACTTTCTGAAGCCTTGTATGACTTGTTGCCCTCACTTACTTACTCAACACAGGCTTAAAATCAAGCAAACTTGGTCTTCAGCTCTGAACAGGATATTGCAGGAATTCATCCTGTTCCCTAATTTGGCAGAGTTATGACCTAAATGTGCCAGCATGTGATAAATATGCATAGACGGAGTTTTCTGTCATACAGAGGTTTTCATATTGCCTGTTCATAATTGCATATGTCATTCATACAGCATTCACAACAACCAGTTTTCCAAAATAGTCTCAGGACAAAGCACCTTCAGCTTTCATTCCCAGATGTGTGTGATGGGTTCCAGGAGGCCGTGCCTGGAAGAAGGAGCTCTCACAGATGCCTGAGCGAGCTCTACTTCTTTCAGCAACTCTCATCATTCCACTTTTTGAATCAACCTTTTTTAGCATCTTATTTTATGGCATTCTGTCCATGACCAAGATTAGAAGAGTCAGTATGAAGAGCCCCATATACAAGAAATAATCCCCACACTAACACAGAAAAAGCTAATCAATTCTAAAATATTAAAAATGTCACATACAACAAAGGGACATGATTGTGCAAAACTGATAACCAAAACGAGCTAAAGACTAAAAAAAAAAAAAAAAAAAGAAAAGCCTTTTTAATCTTTTCTGGATGGCTTAGGTATCTCTATTTATGTTTAAATCAGATAAAAGCTGTAGTGAAAGTGGAAAGAAAATGTCAGTAGCTTGATTACTTTCACAGTTTTTACTGTGAGAAATATTAAAAACATCAACAATCAATAGTATCATAAGAGGTTTCTGGTAACTTACAATATTCTCAAGCCAACTGGGAATAAAAAAAACTTGAAAATGTTTCCCAAGTGAAAAATCTTTCTGTCACAATGAAGTTTTCATTTTCTGTCTTTTATGCTGTGACTTTTCTGTCAGATGTGCTTGGGATGTATTGAGTAAGATAATATTAAAAAAAAAAAAAAATTCTCTGGAGTAGTCCTTCAGTGCTGTCACACAGTTTGAAAACAGCTGAACCACACTCTTGTCACTCTCGTCAAGCTGAGATAAAGTATTTTCATTCATGTTTATTCTTGAGTTTTGCTAGCTCTGAAGATTTGTTTAAGTTTTTCAGTTCTCAGACCCTCAATAACATACAAAATCCAAATTGGAAATCAGCATGCTTTGGTCAAGGATTATGGATTTGACATGTATCATCCTCAGAAGTGAGGGATCAATGTTCAGCTCATATTTACCTTTATATATTTTGAAGATAAATGAAGTAAAATAGGTTTTACTTAATTTACTGTTAACTGAATGTGTTGCATAATTATATTGATGACAGTGCTTGAAAGTGTAAATACAAAAAGACAAAAGTTCAAGGCCAGAATTTCAGGAATTAAGCTGGCAAGGATTAGCCAGGTACTCATATCCTTTTGGAAGTAGTTTCTGCAAGTAAATTGTGCGAGGCAATTTAAAATGGAAATGTTTCTTTTAGCTGTGAACACATAATTTATCACTAAAAAAAAAACCAAATGCCAAATTTCACTCGTTAATTGCTTTTTGTATTCAAGGCCAATGCAAATCTTACTTTTGTTCCTATGAAAAACTGCAGAAATACGGTATTTCACAACCTTTTCTTTCTTCTCACTGCATCATAGGCTAGCAGTTAGAACACATCAGTGTTCCTTGTAATTGAGCTCATTGCAAAAAAGTCAAGGGAAGTAGTAGAAAAGCCTTTGAAAGATAAAGCATAATGCTTGAAGCAGAAACTACTGAAGGCATGATAAGGAGTTCCAGCAGTCAAGAAGAAAAGCCTTGTAGAAAGCTGGAGTTTTTCCTGATTTTAATTGCTCTGAATTTTTTTCCTTTGAGTAGTACCATCAATAGGAAAACACTTGGCATGCAAACATGCCAATTATAACATTGTGAGATTGAACGATGGAAGCGTAATGGAGGTAATCTCTATCCCCAGGCCAGTGCTGACTTCTTTTGAAAACAACCTGTGTGCCTTGCAAAAGAACTATAAAAATAGTATATGGAAAAATCAAAATTACAGATACTAAATTTGCTGTATTGTTTTTGTCTATAGCTATAGTTCTTACACTGGAGTAGCAAAAGAAATGCAAGTTAAAAATAATTGCTATTCTCAGTTACAAGCAGTACTGTTTAGAATTTTAGTCAGCATCCTGAAGAAATAAGCCAATCCAGATTAATGCTGAGATTTATTAATGACAACTCCAAATTTTAGCAGTTGGTTATGACCTTATCCCATTTTTAATCCACAGATAGTATTTGCCTCCCTGTGTTTCTGTGAAGAAAAGTTCCAGAAATTCCCTAACTGTTGAGTAGATTATTTTCTTTCACCTGTTCAGCCTCACTCTTGCTGGCTTAATGGACTGCCATCTGCTACTTGGGTTGGGGGCATGGGAAGTGGTGGGGTGAGGTTTATTGTATTACAGTTCCTTATTCAAGATATTCATAGTCAAATTATTTCATTATTTTTGTAAACCTAAGTCTTACCCTTTCCAATATTTACTGTATACTTTTCTAAATATATATTAATATTTGTTTTAGCAATTTTTGATTAACGTAAAATTCTTAAATCTAGCATTTAAGACTACAGGACAACATATGGAAGCAGTCCTAAACTTTTTATTCACAATATTGTCACAACACTTGGCAGCTGTGAAATCACTTGGGGAATGCTGAGTCAAGTAAATGTGAGGATGAACTGTAGGGATATGCAGTTTTCTCGTCAGTGAGTAACTTCACTCTATTATCTGGCAATTCTTAAATATATTTTAATTAATTAACCATATTCATACTTATTAAACTACTTAGATAAAATTAAAAGAAATCTAACTTCTTTTTTATTGTTCTAGAATGACGGATACTAACTCATACTTGTATTCTGTAGCTGCACCACACTGGGAGAGCTTCACCCCCAGGTGGTTGTAGAGAACTGTGAGAGTTGTATAGTAGTTCAGAAATACAGATAGGTACTTCAGTATTCTACTTGCTATATTTCAAGCTTAGAAAAACTGAAAATAGTCCCCAAATGAAAAGAAAGATGAGGAAACGAGGAATTTTGGTAGGCTGACCCTTCCACTCTGCCCTCAATACTGAATATAAGTATATAAAAAATGATGAAAGCATAAACCAAAGTACAGGAATTCTCTTGTCAAAGAATTTCAATAAATTCTGATTTATAAGGATAAAAATTAATTAATTTTAGTTAAGGTTGTTAAACATTAAATCCTGAGGTTAAAACAAATATTCAGAGAGTAGTCCTCAATTTAGGGGATATTAAATTCTTACCTGCAGGTTGGATTAGCACATCAGATAGAGCAGTATGTGCCTTCACTCCTCCATAATGTTCTACTCATCTCCTAGTACATGGATAGATGATTCACATACATATCTGGAAAAATGGGTCTGAATTCATCGACCAAGCTGATCTCAGGCTCCCAGGGCAGAAGCTCCAGCAGGAAAGCTGTAGCTTCAGCTGTTTCAGGTGTTTCCTCTTTTGTAATTTGCTCTTCTTTCAGTTTGAAGACAGCAACACCAACAGGTACATTTTATGAGACACCTGATGCTGTAAATGTGTGCTGGGTATGTGTGATACATAATGCAGAGCTTCTCACAGCACTGCAGTGGATCTGGAGTTGAGAAATCAAGCAGAAGAGCTTGTACCATTTAAGCCTTCATAACTTGCCAAAAGAAGAACTTGTGCTGAAGAAAATTCTGGAAAAAAAGAAGAAAAAGAAACTTAAGAAGTTTGTTTTTTTTTTTGCTTTCAAGATCAGATAAACAAGAAAAAGGTCAGGATTGTAGTTACAATTTTAGAGCTAACTGCCTTCCTCACAATTTTGGTGTCTGTGCTTTCAATGTTCTGGAAAACTGAAAGGAAAAGGGCAAATTTGATCTTGTGTGTACAAAAGTCTTGTTTTATCATCTACAATTTATAAAGAGAGGGCAGACATTGTAATATTCAACTGTGGGTAACAAATCTACTGTTAATTTTTCCAGTATTGAAAATAAACTGTTTTGATCAGTATTTTAATTTCACTTGGGCAGGATTGGGTTGAGAGCTCAGCAGATGGTTGTCATAAACACCATACCTCATTTTGGAAGTAGCACTCAAATCTATCCAGCTTGGCACTAGCTACACAGACTAATTTTCCTGCATTTTTGTGCCAAAGGAAATAAGGCATGGAGAATATTTTTTCTAATTATTTTCAGATTTTATTAACCAATATCAGACCTGCTTAGCCTATGGTTGCCTTATCCATAAATCTTTATGTTTTACAGTTTTATCAGAAAAACTACAGTCAGTTATCAAACAGAAGTGATCTAAATGACTAATTGTTACCATTACTGGGTAACTTAATTAGAATAATCTCTACATTTTCTTGGTCCTACTATTGGCCAGAGCTGAGTATGAGTGAAATGATTGTGCCTAAAATATAAGCTTTTTGAGAAGAGAGAAATTCAGAAGACTTAAGCACAAAGTTGTCATTCTTAAAATGATTTAAATAAATACTTACTTTTGTAGTACTTTTGATTTTTTTAATGGGGGGATCGTTCCTCACTGTATATTTGTGTGAAGAGAAGTTATGTTGTCCACAGAAACTCTTCCCCACCCATTGTCCACTTCATCCATTATCTTAGTCTATACAGTATTGTGGTTGGCAGGGTTGACCCTCAGCTGGACAGGGAAGTGAAAATACAACAAAAGGCTCCTGGTTTGGGATAAGGACAGGGAGAGATCACTCAGCAGTTACTGTCATGAGCAAAACTTAGGCTCAAGCAAAACATGAGGCTTAAGTTGGGGAGATTAATTTATTACCAGTCAAATCAGAGCAGGATAGTGAGAAATAAAACCCAGATTTTAAAAACACACTCATTCTTCTTGGGCTCAGCTTCACTCCAGAATTCTCTTCCTCCTCCCCGCAGTGGCTGGGGGGGATGGGGAATGGGAGTCATGATCAGTTCTTCACCTGTTGTCTCTGCTGTTCCTTCCTCCTTTAGTGGGAGAACTCCTCACACACTCCCCCCTCCAGAGGTTGCAGATGGATTTCTGCCCTACGGGGCAGTCTGAACGTATACTGGCCCAGGAGCTATTTCTGAAATTCTATACCTGTTTAATTAGAACATTCTGAACCTAATGACATGCTGTCTTCAGAAGTAATTCTTAAGTAAGTCTAAAAATTACCTCTGACAGATATTAGATATCTCTGAAAGAAATTAGGTAGGAACAGAAAAGGATTGAGTACCAAAGTCAGAAGCTTCTTGCTTACACTGTCTTACTGTGAACAAAGGTTTTTCATTTGAGGAAAATAGTATGGATAACACTTCAGTCTTAAAGATTGATGATGAAAATAAGGAATGAAATCTCAACAGAGAAATTGGAATGCCCATATTTTAGACCTTAAAGACAAAGGCCATTGGTATAATAGTGGCAAAAACAGAGGAGGTGATTTCTCTGAATGCCCTGACATCAAGCTCTTGTCTTCCAGATTTCATTAAGGACAGCTAGTAAGCAGCAGAGGTAAACATCCTCCTTTGCATGCTGGGACACAGGCACCCAGTGGTAAGAGCTGTGGGCAGCAGTCTCACCATCTCCTCCCAGGAACCTGAACCCCCTCTACGAGAAGAGGAGGAGAAAGCCAGGGTTGGTGTGCAGATAGATCCCATCACTGGGTGATATCCATTAGAAACTCAACTCTTCTTCCTCTCCTCTTCCTCATTCTACTCTTTCACTATTCCCAAAAAAGCAGATCTGTTTGTGGTATGTAAATGTGCAATTTAAATCTCTCATTACTAAACTGACCACATAGGGAATGAAGACTTCAGCAACTTGAGTTTGAAGATGCTTAGCTTGTGTTTTTGTGTTTAACACCATGTATCCTCAACTTCTTTGGCCTCTTAACTGGTGTGGCTTAGTAGAGGGAGTTGATGTCTCCATAGAAGTGAGGCTAATAATGCTATCAAAATTGATTTTTCTTTTCATCCTTTATTGTATCATGCAGTAACGTAACTGGGATCATTTGTCTAGGATATGCTGTTAAAAATAAGGACCCTGCTTTAAATTTGTCTCTTTAACTTAACCTTGTAACTCAGTCACTCATTTCTCTTGAATCGTTTGAAATACCTGATGTAACAAATTTGGATCCAAATGTCCCAAAACTTTTTTCCTGTTTGTTCATTTCTTTAACAAATGGCTAACTCCTAACTTTGTTTAAAAAGAAAGCATTGAATTGTAGAAAATGGGATGGCTACTTCTGCTATGAAAACTGGTGGTTTTTTTTCATGTCTGCTCTTCAATGAGATATTACATATGCTCTTTTTCCTACTCTTGAGAAAGAAAATTTTCTGTTTTTATTTTTGTGACTGATGTGTGAATCAGACAGCAACCCCCAGAATTCAGCAATGTGAGATCTAGAAGGGTTTCCCTGTAAAGCTAAAGTCTGGAAACATTGGTTGGCTTTAAGACCTACTAATAGGATAATAGAAACCAGGGAGTAAAAGTCCAAGAGAGCAAGCAATGATTGCTATTTCTATTGGATCCATCTGAAACTTTATGTGCTTTGTAAACTGATATTTTAACTGATACAATTTAATAAAGAAGAGAAAAATGAGCCCTTTATGATTATTCTCTTCAGAGCCAGGGAAAATTAATTTATAAATAATGTACCTGCCCTTTATGCTGTTACATTTTTGAAAGCTTCACTGGCTGTTCTGCAATTATGCTAATGATATCTTTGACCCAGTGTTCTATGCAGAAAGCAGTGCTTAAGCTGTGTTTCTGGGAGTGGATTCCTCTTTCTGTTAAAAGCCTCTTAGTATTTGTAGCAGTCCCTGAGACTTCACCCTAATTCCCGACTAGCTCAGATGTTAGGAAGAAGCCTCTGGGATCCACTACATGGACGTGAATAAAAGATAACAAAAGAGGCTCTTTCCCCCCTGGGGAGAATCTGAGGTTTATTTCTTGTGGTCCTCAAGGAGCGAAGGTCAGGGGGCACATGTCTTTTCTAGGGTCTGTAAGGGGGCGAGGGGAATTGGATCCCGGCCAACTGGGCACGGCCAGAGGGGAGAGGGACCAGACCACAGGACATTGCAGGGGTCACAGAATCTACAATTTCCAATACATCTAGTGAGTTACAACAAGGATTTACTTTTATAAGTCTGCTAAAAAGAAAAAAAAAAAAAGGCTGTTGTAAGAATTAGTAGGAATAAAAGAATGCATTTTGCATTTGTACATATGCTACATATGTTTAAACTTCTCCATCTTTTGCATTTTATTTATGCAGAGATAAACTTTTTAGTGCATTTGGAATGGATTGGATGGATGGTTTGGATGCAGGAAAGAGTAAGACGGTCCCATAGGGGTTCTGTATCACTTGACTGGCAAATTTTGGCATATTAAGGGGGTGCTAATCATGATGCTGGTTTATCTCTTTTAGTCCTAATGTCCATATATGTTCTTCATAAAAAAAAGCCAAATCAGCTTCCCATGAACTTTTAGGTAGCTTTCCAGATGCCCAGAAACTGGCAGTCAAACATTGTGGTCAGGTAAGAATTTCTGCTTTTGATTCACTGTATAAACTTATGGAATATGTTTAACATTGATGCCACTTGCTACCTAGTTAGGAAAAGTAGCATAATCATACTTAATTACTGTGCCTATTTCATAGAGAGTTTGAGGATAAATTAGGTACAAGAGCTTGAAATATAAAAAGCTTTCCAAGTGGGTAATATGATCCACTTGTTCAGTCTGTTGACCTCAAGTGATAATGAAAAAGCTTCAACTAATAAATGTATAAGAAAGATCTTTATTAACTAATGATTTTTCTGCTGTAATGGGCCTTAATATATCTACTTCACAGCCTTCTCAAATTCTGAGAAAAAAATCTGTGGTAACTCAGAAAGTTTTATCAAAAGAGGAAAGAGATTAGGGAACAACATTATTCTTAATTCCTTTCTTTGTAATGACTTACAATTCTGTTGTCAGTCTTATTTAATAGTTTTCAAGGAGGACAGGGACTACTATTGACTATAGTATATTGTGTGAGATGCTAAAATAAGTTGTGCCTCTTGTAATGTGGCCTCATTTATGAATATGGTGTAATAGGTAGATTATCATAATCCTCTGTTGCTGAAGTGCAGCAAAGATTGTTTTGTAAGAAACAGTGTCTGTGGACAAATGAGATCAAACAGGCACAGTAGATGATGATGGTGATAATGATGATGATGCTTATGATGTTGCTGCTGCTGCTGCTGCTGCTGATACAGGTGACCCACTTAGGCAGGGAAAAAGAATTATAGCTATGAAAAAAAACAGACAGATGATTATGCTAAAAATAAGACATTGAAATACTTGCAGGCCAAGGGTATAAGCCTGGCAACAAGTTGACTATTGGCAGATCATTTATCCATCATCTTGAGGAAAAAAACCTATTCTTTAGTAAAGATGAAAAGGATGTACTGAGCAGAAACAATATATTATCCTTATGGTGTCCACTGTTTTCCCAGGAGATAAAAGTGGATTCTTCTTTATAGAAGAATAAAGCAAGCTTTAGGAAAAGGAGTCTTTAGAAAGATTGTTAATAGTGAAGTATCCTTGAGAACTCTTATTCTCTTACATTCCCTTTCACTTGTCTTTTCCTACAAGAATGATGCTTCATCCATGCTGAAATGTCTGGATGCCATGTTTCTGGCTCCAAGTCCTGTGGAGAAATGGCACCATCCTCCACTGTAAGTAGATGTAGTTGGTTGACCCCAGCTGGATGCCAGGCAGCCACCAAAGCCTTCCTGTCACTCTGTAGGAGCTGTGGTCTGGATGGTCGGGACTGATGGAGAGATCTCTAAAGCCAGGTGTTGGAACTTGTAGTTTACTGCAAAGGGCGTGGGTAAAAGGGCCCTGCTTGGAGCTGCCAGCCTCAGCTCGGAGCAGGCCTGTGAGAGCAGGAGGGCAAGAGTAAAGAGAGAGCAAGGGATAAGAGGTAAGAAGTAAGAGAGTAAAACTAAGAGCATCAGAGAGGTAAGAGCAGTAAGAGAGCGAGGTTCCTGTTACAATACAATAAATCTTCTTCTGTGTTGAATATTCTAATTTTCACTAACCAATCTAATACAAGATACAAATCCTGTAGCATTTACATACAGACTATAAGAATCACTACATTACCATACTGTGTTACACTTTAAACCCTAAAAACTACTCTTTGGACCCTCTTTACCAAGCTAGTAGGGTCTTTTCTGACCCTTGGACCTGTCTGCAAGCAGAGGGAATTGTTCAGTGAAAAGGGGATTACTTTCAGATACTATTGTTTTCTAGTTGTTCAGTAACTAAGGTTTGGTATCTCAAAGATGGCTTTCATTTCAATCTTGCTTATAGTTTCCATATTCTCAAAATCTTTTGCCAGGCAATCATATTTATAAGGTTTTCCATTTTCATCTTCCCCAACATCACTCCCTTCCACAGCTGCATGGCGGAGAGAAAATATAACAGAGGGTTCATGAGTTGAGGTAAGGACAGGGAGAGATCACTCACCAAACCCTATCACAGGCAAAATAGACTAGAATTAGAGCTATTTATTGAATTTAGAGGTGACAAAATCAGAGCAGGATAATGAGAAGCAAAATAAGACCTTAAAAATACCTTCCTCGTACCTCTTCCTTTGCAGCTCTACTTCTTCCCCTCAGCAGTGGGGGGGGATTATGGTCAATTCATCACATGTTTCTGCTGCTGCTCAGGGAGAGGAGTCTTTCCCTTGCTTCATTGTGGGGTGCCTCCCATGGGAGACAGTTCTCAATGGACTTCTCCAATCCATCCCACAAGAGACAGTTCTCCACAAACTGCTCCAACATGGGTCACTGTTCCACAGGGTACAGTCTTTCAGGCACAGCCTGCTCCAGCATGGGCTCCTCTCTCCACAGGTCCCTGACAGGAGTCTGCTCCAGCACGGGCCTCCCATGGGGTCACAGTCTCCTCCCAGGCATCCACCTGCTCCAGTGTGGGTCTGCTCCCCGGGCTGCAGGTGGATCTCTGCATCTCCATGGCCCCCATGGGCTGCAGGGGCACAGCTGCCCCACCATGGGCTGCACCAGGGGCTGCAAGGGAATCTCAGCTCTGGCACCTGGAGCATCTCCTGCCCCTCCTTCTGCTCTCACCTTGGTGTCTGCAGAGCTATTCTCTTGCATGTTCTCACTCTGCTCTTCTCTGGCCACAATTACACCTGAGCAATAACTTCTTTTCCCTTTCTTCTTTGATATCTTATAACAGAGGTATTACCATTATTTCCAGTTTGTCTGGCCTTCACCAGCAGCATGTCTTTGTTTGGAGCTGCTAGGGATTGGCTCTAATGGACATGGAGGAAGCTTCTGGCAGCTTCTCACAGAAGCCAACCCTGTAGCCCCCACAGTACCAAAACCTGGCCATGCCAAACCCAATACAGTGTTGTATGTGGGACTTCACTGATCTCAGATAGTGGTGCTCTTCCATGTCCACTGTAGATGCCATGAGGTAGAAACAAAATATTTAATTATTTCCTTTAGCAAACAACGTGAAAGCTGAATGAAATTTAAAATTACCAGAAGGTATCTGGTCTATACCAGATGAAAAAGATGAGATTGAGAAAGGAAGGATCACAGGGTGAGCAGGTGCTTGAAAAAAGAAGGGGAAATTATTCCCACACAGGTATGACCTTGCAAAACCCGTGGCCAGGCTCGTTGCAGACTGACAGTGGCATTAACAGTGAGCAGCTGCTGGGGAGGATAGTGTAACAGGTGCTGCTAGAGTCACTGTGACACAAGGACAACCTGACAAAGCCTTTGTCTCAGTAATGTGCCCCGTGGCACTGAGATGCCTATGGAGCCTGTGTCTGCCCGAGTGTGCCTTTGCTAAGGTCAGTACTTGTTTGACAGGTCTTGATTTTGTGGTGACTTTGTTTCTTATGTCTCCTTGTTTACTCCCTTGTGATGTTTGGTACACCATCTGTTTCTTCCCTCTCTGCTTTTTCTTCTGTTTTTAACATCGGAAGTCATGTTGAATGTAAATATATGTATGCTTTTCATCTAGTATTTTAAATACTGTGGGGTTTGATTAGCATAGAGTTTTAAGTGCCTACCCTTTCTTCGACCTTCAGACAAATAGCCAGATTTCAGTCTTGTTTATCCTTATTGTAGAGCCTAAATAACCCTGTTGGGTGTCATGCAATTACAGTATATGCTGCTATAAATAGCAAGATAATTTCACCAAGCTACAGGCTTCACACCCTTTCCGTCTGGGCATGGGACAGAGAGATGCATGGCAGTTCAGAAAGAGTCTTGTGTCTCTTTTATGCTGCACAGGGCTCACAGCCCCAGCACTGGTCATGGCCACAGACATCACCATGTCAGTGTGATTGCAGGGGCTTCAGGAGGCGAGCAGTCAGAACTGGATGGCAGCTACCTCCTCCATTTTGCTACAGAGCTTTTTGTTTGACAATTCATGCTTGCTTTTGTCTTTAATTCTACCATATGATGGTTCAGAATTATGGACAGAAGCTCCAGTATTTTGTCTGCCATCCCAATCTTCTGCCAACCTTGTAGTCTGGCATCTAGGACCCTCCTGCCTCCATCTCACAGTGCAGTTGCATACTCGTTATCGATACCAGTCCCTTTAATGTATTAAGTGGTGGCTTTCCGATTGAGAACTGCAAGGTGTCACTGGCATTGTTCTCTTGCAGCTTGTAGGAGAGAAACAGGAGTTTGCATTTGTGTCCTCTAAATAGTCGAAGGATCAGGATTCACACAACTTCACAAGCAACATCAGCAAGTTATTTCCTCGTTGCGCCGTGCCTGGGTCATGCCAGCTCCTGTCGTTGTCAGAACTGATGTGCTCTACAGAACAGGGAAAGAACAGCAAGTCTCCATAAATTTGTGCTGAGATGAGGGTTTAAAGAATAGGCTGT